ATTTTTGGTCGGAAAAAAAATTTCTTAAAACATATATGATTCTACGTAATTTTTGATGCTGATTTCGAATATGCTATCTATTTCGCTTGTTCGCTAAGCCATGATAATGAAAACTGCTAAATACGAGCACATTTTTCATGCTTTTATCCGATTTTGCCACCAAATGAGGGAAAAGCTCAATTTTCTCAACAATAAAACAAAATCTAAAAAAACAAAATAGTAACTGTTATAGCCCATGATCTGACGATTCTAATAAGATAAGACACTTGCTTCTATCTCTTGTTACAAAAAACTAGATAGGTTTACAAGATTAGTCACAAATACGTACTTTTGAGCATGTTGAGGTATCTATATTGGACAGGATTTTTTAAACTTTGTTCTGCTTGAAATCAAATCGAATGATATTTTCTTACTCAGTTTTTCACGCTGATTCAGAATATGATATTTTTAAAAAGTTTAACAAAATAAATGTCCTTCAAATTTCACAATTTCTGTAAAAGATGCGCGATAAAGCTCCATATGTAACATTTCTAGTCATTCGACTTTTTTAGCGCTTTTCTCAGCCAAACAGTGATCGAATCGAAATAAAAAATATATATTCGTGATCAGCTTTTCAAGCTCTATCAAACCATATATAAATGAACGAAAAAAAAATTTTACTGAAATTTTGCATTTCCGCTACCTTACCTATTGAACAATATTATTTTGAATTTAGCTTTTCTCGAGTCTTTGTTCAGTTTCAAAGGCTCTCAGTCAAAATCAATACAAGTCTCTTTCAAATAGAGGCTTTATAAAATTCAATGATAATTTAATTAATATCAATAATAATTAATTTATTTTTATTTTGTTTTTTGTAATTTTTTATGATGTTGTTTCACCAGGGTCGCCAAATGTTAGGTCTTTATGTAAGATGTTAATATGTACTGATCGAAATGTACTTAACTTTTATTCTGAATATCCAGGTTAGAATATCCATATATATATATCGAACAGAAAACACATATATATAAGAAAACGAACGTAAACAAAGATAACAAATGAAAATCATAGAACGATGGAAGAGATCAAAGAGGAGGAATATACTAGAGAAATATGTACAGGTGCGACATCACCGTAACACTCTTTCTCAGAAGCGCCATCCATAAAAGCAAATTAGACTCTTCTTGCTCTTTTTGGCAACAAGCTTTCGGTGATATGAAAGATGAAATATCCTATTTTGTGATTTGCGAAATAAAGTTGAAAGAACAAGAAACCAGGATCAAAACAAGAGAGTAGAAAATAAAAATATTCTGGTTGAGTTTGAACCTGCTCCTCACATCAAGTAAGGTTTCTTTCGCGTAATATAACCACAGAATAAAAGGA